TTTTAAATAGACCCCCTCACTGGCTTCTATCAGCATGGTTGATGCTAATCTCCAGGAAAGTAATTCTTTGCGCCTTTTCGGGCTCATGTTCTCAGCTGACACAAAGTGGAAAGATTATATTAAATCCATTACTAGGTAAGTTGCCAAGAAACTCGGTTCACTGTGTCATAAAGGACATAAATGAATGGAATCGTCCATTTATGTAAATAAGCGGAGTTAAGCGGAGTTAAGTGGAGTTGAGCAGATTTAGCATTAAGTAACTCTGCTTGTCGGCTCTCTGCCTCCGGGCAAAGAGAAACCCAGACGAGGCTATACCGAAGGGCAGAGTATCGTTAGTGGAGGTAGACCCATTATTACGGGGAATTTCTGCCGGGTCCTATTAAGCCTGTTTGTCACTTATAACATTAATTTTAACAAACTTCCAATGACCTTCTCGAGAGAGAGAGAAAAGGCAACTATTCAAAACTGATCATCTAAAGAAAAAGAATTAAACCGATGCGAATTTCGATTAACTAGAAAAGATCATGACTTGACAAATAGACTTCGGATATGTGGTTCTAAAATCCTTAAACACAGATTATAATAGATCACTTGGAAAATGCTCTAAAAACTGCAAATATTTTCTGATCAGCTCTCTGTGCAAAATGCTGTTATTGTTATTGTCAACTTTGCCAGAGTACACCCGATAAATATACAAAATTTTAGTGAAGAAAGTGCGAAGGTAAGGTTTTTTTAAAAAAATAGACCCCCTCACTTGCTTCCATCAATGGTTGAGGCTAATCTCCAGGAAAGTAATTCTTTGCGCCTTTTCGGGCTCATGTTCTCAGCTGACACAAAGTGGAAAGATTGTATTAAATCCATTGCTAGGTAAGTTGCCAAGAAACTCGGTTCACTGTGTCATAAAAGACATAAATGAATGGAATCGTCCGTTTATGTAAATAAGCGGAGTTAAGCGGAGTTGAGCAGATTTAGCATTAAGTAACTCTGCTTGTCGGCTCTCTTCCTCTGGGCAGAGATGAACCTGAACGAGGCTATGCCTCTGGGCAGAGTCTCGTCTGGGGAGGTAGACAAACCCAATCCAGTTATTACTTGGTCTACGGGGAATTTTTGTCCTGGCCTACGTTAAACCGGTCTTGTGCCACATCCCGCTTTGTGGGAAGCTCGGATAAATACCGACTGAGCATTAGGTCATTTGCTCAGTGCACCTTCCTGTAGTAAACCTTCTATTTCACTACTTACCTACAAGTTTGTTTTCCTTATTTATTTCTCTCTGTTATCTTGAAAACTCGATATACAAACGTAAGTCTCGTGAAGACGTATAACTACAATACCGTCATCTTTCTCGCTTTATCAAGCAGGTAAACAGAAAACGGTTTGGTTTAAAGATGTAAACGACTATAATTCTGAACATTTTTTACAATGATGTTCACCCTGTATAAGGCTCGAGAGTCACACGAGGTAGGGGGTTATAGGGGTACATTTTATGCGGATATGTGGACAAAACAATGGTTAACCCTAGACTTGAATAGGTTAAGATTGTAGTGTCGGAAGAAGCGACCCGAGTGAAACTTGCATTTCACCAATGGAATATGAAGAGAATGAGGGTGGTTTGTTACAATATGAGCAACATGGCGAGTCTTAGCCGTGCAGTTTAGAACTGGTGGAACTAAGGAATGTAGTGCGTCTGAACACTTTCTATGGAAATAGCGACAGAGCAGGGTGAAGCTTGCGACGTTTCCCTTGTGAGAAAGGAGTTGTAAGGTGGAAAATAATTTGTCACCCACAAGGACGCGGCGATTCTTTTGAACGCTATCGAGAGAGGAAAGTAGAAACTAAGCATCTCCTGCCCATATATGGCAACATTACTCTATTTTCGGCCTGATCTGACTCTTGTGAAAGTAGAAGATAGCAGGAAGAATCAGGTACCTACTGGAGCGGTACAGAGAACCGAACATTTTTCCAACATCTTCCGTTCCACCTGAGGTCTGGGTTGAGTTTAAGTCCCAATAAGCGCTCAAGGCACGGGGCCTCATTGAGGGGACATATGTTCATTATGATCGGTAATAGTTCTGGGTCCAACCCGCAATGATGGAATGTTACTGGTTTTATTTTTCGAAGCATTGAACGTGACCAGCCAGTTTTTTCTCCCTACTGAGCTGTTAAAGCTAGGTCAGAGGTAAGACCAGCTGACCATCTAGTGTTATGGAGGTGCACACATATACCGTTGTATCATCAACATAGATATTCACACATGATTGGAGTATAATCTTAAATAGATCATTTATGTAAACAAGAGGGCTGGACAGAGAAGTGAGCCTTGGTGAAAGCCTACATTAATCGCTTGGGTGTCGGAGGACTGAACGTTAAAAACTACCTTCAGAGACCTACACGTTACGAAGGATTTGATAATTCTAAAGTCTTTTCATTCTCTTTCACTCCCAGTAGCCTCTTGTGTCTTAGTGGCATTACCGCTTTGCTTGGGGTGAATTGATTTTTAAAAAAAAGGGGTCCGGCTTTTCCTCCAGAGTTATTAGAGCTAAGTCAGAAGAGAAATCAGCTGCCAATCTCCAGTCATCTAGCGTTTTGAAGGTGCACCCATATACCGTTGTATCATCAGCATAGATATTCACAAATGATTTACGTGTACTCTTAGGTAGATCATTTATGTAAACTAGAAAAAGGGTTGAACCGAGAAACGAGCCCTGGTGGGGAGGGAGCGTCTACGTTCATCGTTAGAGCCTTGTTTCAGGAGTTAACACCAACTTTTAAGCAATCAAGATTTTTGTAATACAGACTTTGTAGCCGTTTCAAAGAACTGGACTGATCTCAGATTCGACCGGATTTTCTTTAGCATCTGAGAATTTATTTTCAACAATTCTAAATAAACTATTGACATCTAATATTACATCAGCCTTAGAGCTGCTTCCACTGAAATAAAATTCATGCGAGATACAACAATGAATAGTAATTAATTTTATGTCAATTAAACTAAAGAAAATACAAAAGAAAAAGAAAATTCAGCTAAATGGGACCAAATAATTCAATTCGTAGTCATACTTAAAACAGATAAAAATTCGTTACCCTCTAAAATAAACCCACGTTAAACTGACCTTATGTTACATTCTACTCGTGTAAGTAGGCAGAAATACTAACAGCTTCGGAAAAGGTGAAATTACATGTCGAACGGCATGTCTGTGTCATAACTGAACACCTTTAATGTGTTTAGAGGACTTTCGAAATCATCAAAATTTTTAGCATATAGTTTCATGCCGTTCATGATCATTATTGTTATTTCAATGTTTTCTCTGATAAGATCTTAATATCTCGAAATTAATGCATGAACAGCGGGACACAAATAAAAGCGTTAGATATCATACCATTGTCCTCTGACTCTAAGTGTTCAATAGTTTTTCGGTTATTCTTGACGTTCCTAAGAGACTTTCCTTTTGTAATTGTTCCACTGAGCAATCAACGCCGATTTTCTTTATCCGTGTCTATTCTGTCATATGTCTAGAAAACAGGAATCCAAATGGCAACAATTGAAAGAAAAGGAGAAAAAATAAAAGAGAGAAAAGGTTAAGGAATGAGTGTAAAGTGAAAAGAAAAACGACGAAGATGATAAATAATTACGGCATTCTACAAATACGCTCATAGGGGATCATGCGCGAACGAACACACGCACACATACACTATGAAAAAACTTATACCAATGAAGACTGCATATAAAAAAGAAAAATCGAAAATTATAAGCAGTCAATTGCTGATACTCCTGACGAGTGGACTTAGTAATTCGCGGAGGGTCGGTCTACAAAACTCTGGGGTTGGAATGCTGAAGGCAACACCAATCAGCAGAATGAGAAAACATATATTTGCATTAATTCTCTCTATATATAGAGATATAATAGGCCGATGAAAGTAATTCGAAAGATTAAAAAAATTAAAATAATAATATTGAGAAGACTAATAATATCTATTACGTATCAGTAGGCATTTTGACCAAATGGAAGTATGACGAGAAAGATTTTAAAAATTGGAATTTTCGGATACGACTGTGTACTTTCTCAATGATATGACAAATAAAAAATGAAGAAGGACTTTTTTCCAGGCTAATTTTTTTCCGCATGTCTTATATTACTGAAGCGATCCAATAGTTTTGGGCTAGTTGTGTGCCACGATTGTGTTCCACTTCGTTACGCTCGGAACGCCTTAACCAACTTGGCCACAAAGATCATTCGGTGACGCGAGGTCAAATCTAGTACCTTCAATCGAATTTTCTCTCGTGCAGTTTCGTATCCAAACGTAAATATAAAGAATGTTTTTAATGGATTTTTTTTATTAATCCGACAGATTTTATCACTTTAAACGTATTTTTATACTTGTTAATAAATAAATGGAGCAGCTGGTCAAATACGTGTATTCACTTAAATAAAATAAAAAATGATATAAATTTGTCGGTTTCATAAAAGTAATCCATTCTAATATATATATATATATATATATATATATATATATATATATATATATATATATATATATTCGTGTGTGTGTGTGTGTGTGTGTGTGTGTGTGTGTGTGCATGGATGCAAATTGATTTTTTAAAGTGGTCAATTGTCTGCGCACTATACATAAATACTCCCTCCATCCTCGTACTATGTCCGGTATTGCTGCATAGTGTGCCACATGTAAAATGATGCTACAATCACAAGCTTTTTAAATAAGGAGTTTTCCACTTCGAAGCTGAATGTTGGCCCTTTTGCCGAAACTCACCAAGCTGATTTGAATTCAGTTTTCCATTTGCTATACTGTTTACCAACCAAGGCTATAGAGCACAGGCTGTCCTGTTAATCACAACTGTAGGTGGGAGGAGAAGGAGTGGATTCACATCCTTTCCCATGGGCAGTTGCGTGTAAGTAAATGTAACGAACTCGAACGGAATTGGAAGTCGGCTCTCTGATTTGACATTCCAAGCCGTTATCCACTATACCACGAGCATATCCAAG